AAAAATATCTCTATGGACATTCCAATCCTTGGGTATCAGACATTCCCTCTAGTGTCCTTCCGATTCATTTATATTTTATGTAGATATTTTGGTTCGGTTTGCGTCCCTATCGTTATCTAATTTTCTTCTCATAGAGGAATTTAACCTCTAAAATAATCGTTCTGAATTAATGTAACCTCACATTGAGATAGGTCTAGTATATCACTTACCTTACCCAGTCTTCTTTGGTTTCAAAAAAGCTAAGGTTGTTCTCTTAAAGATTATCCAGATTTCTTATTAGCTGGGTTTCAAAATAGTTGCATGAACTTCTTCTAATATTTTAATTTCATTAGGAATCTCAAGGTCGATTAAACTAAAATTTTTCTTTTTATCCTATTGTAAATGTCTAGGTTGTTACTCCCCTAAGATTGTAACCTAGCATCTTTCATTTATCTAGACTTTCTGCAAATCATTACAAAACACACTAATCTCTCCATTCCTTCCATCTATTATGTACCACTTAACTAAAAAACATTTCAAATCTTTTTTCTGAGATTAAATAAATTAATTTTTGAATTCTCAAAGTGCTAACAAGTTAATTCATATCTTCATCAGAGTGAGTACCTCCATAGACATTTTCATCATCTTTTAAAGATGAATTACCTCTATGGAACATTCTTTTCCCTTTTAAATTTCAAACTTAACTATTGGGGGAATCGGAAAATATGTGTTTCAGATTAAGATTACTACATTTAATAATTAATCAGCGAACCAACTTTGGAGTTTTATTGATCTTGAATTCCTTTGGTTTTGAGTATGCCCAGACTTAATATTTTTTCTGATTTTATCGATCCCCAATCAAGTTGAATGTTGAATTCAATGTAATATTTTGATCTTTTCTCACACCGATCTTGAGCCTTTTCCTCTCCTCCTAAAAAGGCTTTCCTTCTTCATCTTCTGATCCTGTCCTAGAGAGCTCGGCCAGATCAGTTTATATCTGTAATTCAAATCGACTTCATCTCCCAATATTTATTCAAGCTCTTTCCTTGATCCCAGGGTTTGTTCTTCCCCACATTTCCCTAGGCCGCTTTATACGAGTAAACTATAATTTATGTAAGAAAGAAGATCTAAATTAAACCTAATTTTACTGATAGGTATAAGGTACCAATTCTAAATCATAAAATTTATACCTCCTATCGGCAGTCTACCATGCTTAAGTTCATAATATTCAGGGCCCCTCTAGGAAACACCCCTTGCTTATGTAGATATACAATCTTCCCTGTATTATTCTCCTATCCTTTCAATTTATACCAATTGTGGATTTTAGAATTGTAATTATTAAATATGATAGATTCTGATGCCCTTATGAATTTGATTTGTTAGAATTCTTTGGGTATCTTTCCAATTAAAACTTTACCTTCAGTAAATTATTCTTTTTTAGGAGCATTTTTAAAAACCTTTCTGAAAACCCTAATATTTTTAAAGTATTTATCTCCATCCACTACTTCAATATGGTACTCCAAGAAAGTAGACCTTCACTTCACCTCTTTCATTCCCTTTTCAGTTGTATCTATATCATATCCAAAAATCCCTAGACATAAATTAACGATCAACATTGATGATTGATGGATCTTTCGGGTTAGCCTTTCTCATCTTTTTCTTAACAACTTACTCTAACCTGTCTTTCATAATTCATTAAACTTCTCCAGATAAATTCCTATTTCTCTCTTAGTTAGGTGGCATTCTGGCTCAGATGAGTTTCCATGATGTAGACTACAAGAGCTCTGTTATGTTTTTAATCCAAAGATAGCAATATTACCACTCATTGTTGCATAAGTATTTATTGTATTGTCGATTAAAATTACAGCTCGGAGATAGTTAATTGTAATTAATACAAATAATATGAAAAAATGATTATTCAAAAGGTGATGAAGTAGCTGCCTTGAAAAGAGTTGAATACAATATTTGAGTTAGTTTAAATTCTGGCTTCAATTGTCAATTTATAACTTGTATTTCTATCAGACAGTACTAAATTGATTGCCTATTCATTCCACATCAGATTTCAAGATGAAGATATGATTTTAATGACCATTTTTTTAGAGAGTCAGATGTTAATTGAAGCGAAGCAATGTCTTGCTAAGGAAAATAAGGCTTATGCATTATCAAGCACCTTCCTTTAAACTAATATAGTTTTGAATTTAAAACTATTCTTTTTTAGAGATGGGAAAATATAAATATGAATGTGCACTTATCCAATGAAGTGCATATTGATAAAAGATAATCGATATCCCCATTTTATCTTATATATTCCATTAAAATTTATTAGAACCTTCCATCCCTAAGAGTTAAAATCATTACTATAAGATATTAATTTCATACCCTATTGATTAATTGATAATACGAAAATTTTAGATGTATATACTTCAATGCTCTATGGATATATTCATGAGTTGAGGAGAAAATCAAAATTTTATTTTCTCATAATAAGCCTTAGTGATAATGAGTAGAGGTAAGTAAAATTCTACATAAGATGAAATTTCTATTCCTTTTAATATCTCCAAACCTGATATAAAGGAAATTTTCATCACTTGAGTTTTTGAAAAAATTTATGCATGCTAACGTTTGCCTTTTTAGTTATTCTTGTAGTAGGATAGGCTTCTGATTTTGAAAGAAAAGGTAGATAATCTATATCAATTTTATTTTGGATTCAGCTGCAGCAATAGTATTAGTGTTGTCATGATGGATAGCTAGCGCTTTAAGTATTGATTAGGAAATAGTTCATGATAATAAAAAATCATTTTATCTAGAATTTATATGGAAATCTAAGAATTATTAAGATGAAAAATATTTTCATTTATCAGATTCTGGTTTATGGTTTAGTAAATGATTCCAATTTAGTGTTTGTAAGTATTAATTTATATTAATTTATGTTTATCCCTTCAATCCACTTATATTTTAAAATCCATCTTAATAATCACCGGCTCTAATTTATAATAAAGTAAAATGTACACTCTTAATGATTGAATTATGATGCTTCATCATCCCCAATTTTCCTCACTCTCTAATATAATATTTATATATAACTAATTTTGAATTTTATAATAACAGTTGCTTTAATATCCTAAAAAGTAAAAAATATTATTATTATTTAAGATTAACATTCAACTTTCCTTTTTTCATTTCATAATCATATTATCCAACATCTATGAATAAATTTATTTATCCAATTCGAGTTAATTCAAATTAAATACTGTAACTTTCTTTTCATTTATTGACAGATGCATTTAATCAATGAAATGTTTCTTTAAGCAATAGATTCTGTATTCTTATTTTATATTTCAATAACTTACAAATAATCTGTTTCTCTAGTTTGTCTAAGAAGTCTCAATTGTTTTTATACTATCTGGCTTAAAAAAAAGTTATTAAATATATCTACTTATTTTTTTATCCAAATTTAATCGATGAATCTCCTCCTGAATCAAATAAAATTCAAATATGGTTTAGTTTATTTTCATGTTAAATTGATTTACATTGAAGATCTTGAGGAGCAAGATACCAATAGACAGGAAGGATAAATATAGAATACTGAGATATTAAAGATATAATTAATACTAATTCATAGTTTTATTTATGTAAATTATATAATACGTATGGAAGAGTTTCTGAAACTAATAAATAAATTCAATAAAAATAGTTTGGCGCACTTGAAATATCAATTAGTTAAGTGACTTAATTAAATACTTAAGGATAATTCATAATTCTGTGTCATAAAACTTGATTTTCTTAATAACTCTTTTTCTATAAATTCATAATTTATCTTTGATATGAATGTCTAAACATTATTAAACTCAATCGGGTTATTATTTTATGTACTTAGTTCTTCTTTAAGGATATTGGTAAAAATTAAAACAATAAGATAATTTTTTCTGTAGAAATAACTTATAATTCAAAATGATAAATAAGTTATAAAAAATTCCATTCCACTCTAAATAAATATCTTTAAACTGAATTATAATTAGTTTCTGACTAAAATACTAGGAAAGATTATTTAATTAGCAATTCTAAATACGAAAATTGAATAATAACCAAGAATAATTAATCTAATTTATTATATATAAAATTTTTTTGAATATATATTATGCACCAATATTTGCAGATTCCATAACTGCGAATTTTTTCGATTAGAGCTTATCTACTTTAAGTCTACATTACTACTTTCATTATTTAAGCCTTTTTTTAATATATCTTATTCTAATTCAGTAGTTACCTTATATAAAGGTAAAATTGTAAAACTAAAATCTCATACTTATCGAAAAGTGAATTGTTAATTCTTTTACATTTCATAAAATGTCTTTAATTCTCTCATAAAGTTAAACGTCGTTCAAACTTAAGATTAAATATAAAATAACTCTATATTGTAATTTTGTTACATAAATAAGTTCGAGCTTGGTTTTAAAATTTTATTTTTTGGAATCCAATTTTACAGTAAAACTCCACTATAATACAAATATTTTGTAATCGTTTTCTTCTATTAAATAAACAACTTCAATTATTCTAAAATATGATTTAATTTAATAAAAATTTTTTAATCAAATTCGTATTAAATGATAATTTATTTTATCAAATAATTAAATATGGATAAGATTAACAATCAATTTTGCATTTCAAATTGATTTCTAATTTGCTGTGTCATTCCTTTATGAATACAAAGGTAATTAAGAATATTAAAAAAGTAAAATTCTTAAAAAAATAAAGGAGAGTGAATACGAAAAATTATTTTAGAAGAATGGCCATGTTTTCAAATTTGTTAGAAAAATGAAGCTCTTTTTATAAAAACGATGAGTCAGAATTTTTATATTTAAGTTTTTTTAGAAAATGTAAAATAGAGCCATTCTCAAAATGGATTCTATAATGGAAATTCCAACTCTAAAATATGATATAAATTCTAAGTTATATTTAAAAAAATTCAATAATAAAATCATCTAAAAGAGATTCTAATGGGTTTCATTGCAAGATTAATAATGATTCATCTATTCTAAGTATGTTTTAGCTTTAGATCTTTCCAAACTGAATTCAATAAAGAGATATTTTAAAAATCTTGTCCCGGCTATCATTAATATTGGCCAGATATTTATCCCCATACGTGTTCAGGTAGTTTAGTTATATAATTTAAGGTGTTCCAAGGGAATGTACTAATACTAATCAACTCAGACAGATTATATTAAATAATTATGAAGTTCTATGCCATCCATAGATCAAAGGTTATATCCTATACTGGAATTACGATACTCATATACTTCTAGGATGGTGGCCATATGTTATGATATACTCATATGATCCAAACGGGAATTTAATTTTTACAACTGAAGGAGTATCTCTGTTGAATCGTAATGGTTGTTTAATCGGACAAAAGTATAATGGTATTTACAAATGCATTTATTGTGGTGGCTACAATTACGGCCAGAATTGTGCTACATCTCCATTTCCTAGAGGTATTTATTATTGTAATCTGAAGTTTGTGGTCAATATTGTAAGACGTGTGATGCAACCAATACATAATGTGCCAGTTGTATACCTGGTTAGTCTCCATTAGATAGCGATGACCTAAAATGCACATTAAGTAACTATAATAATTATTTGAAGCCTGTGAACCAGGTCATAAAACCTGTTAATATATAGATTCTATCTATTCTTTTAGTGGATGTATGGATGGTTACGAGTTTTTAGATTAATAATGTGTTTGTATGATTGATATCAAAAAATATAGAATGTCCAATCAATTGTTAAGTCTGTTCTTCTGGAATATGCTCATAATGTATGTGGCCTTATACTTTAAAAATGTCTTAATGTTTTGAAGATAGAAATTGCATGCAATATGATTATATATATGATTCTAATGGAGAACCCATTGAAACAGATTGCAAATAATGCGATGTTGGATATTTTAAAAAAGGAACTCGATGTTCTTGTAATAATATAGTTTTAATTAGCTTGTTAAAATGAACCAGGGTTAGAGAAATGCTTTATATGTCATAATGCAAATGAATGTAAAAGTTGTTTTGCAACACACTATTTAACTGCTGATAAAAAGTGTGCTCTTTCTACGGTTGGATGCAATTCGCCGTGTCAAACCTGTTTAGTAACAGATCCAAATTATTGTACAACTTGTTTTTATCAATACAAACTAACCGCAAGAATTATTCCTGGTTAATGTGTTTGTGATTAAATTGAAGGATATGCAAAATTGAATGACAAATGTGTTTTATGTACCATTGGAGATTGTTAAACATGTACATTAACATTTGGAGATTGCACATCATGTAATCCATTAAGAAATAGAACACTAATTGGGAATACCTGTCCTTGTAATTAAGGATATTATGATACAGGATTAGAGGATAGGATTTGTCAATGTAATCAAAAATATAATATTCTAGAATGTTATCCTTCATGTTACAATTGTTCTGGACCATATGATAGTGATTGTACTGATTGTGGAGATCCAAATATTTTTCACAAATCGTTAGTTAACGGTAAATGTATTTGTGCCATAAGAACAATTGAAATTATCTAAGATTCTGGGTCAACATTATGTCTTCGTAAGAATTCTATACAAAATCTAGCCTGTCACACAAGATGTGAAAAATGCCAATTGCCAGCAGACAATACATCAAATTAATATTGTACAATGTGTATAGCAGGACAAAATAGAATTGTATCTGATGATGTGAAATGTATTTGTAGAAGTGGATATGGAGAAGACGGAATTCAGGATATTTGTTTTAGTATATCTATAAAATTAATTCTAAGAATGTCATTATTCTTGTCTTAGATGTAATGGACTGCTATCAAATAATTGTACTGAATGCTCTATTGAAGATCACCGTTATTTGACTTCAGATAATAAATGTTTATGTTCCCCGTCCTATTACGATTCAGGGAGAAACGAAGTATTTTGCTATTGTAACAAAGAGAATAATATTTAGTGTCTTGTCATCATTCATGTGTTAACTGTCTTACTGCAGGAGCAGATTAATGTACAAGTTGTCCTTCAACAAGATAACCAGATAGAATCGGTTCTACATATTAATGCTTGTGCAAGGATTCAGACTATTATAGCGATTAATCTTAATTAGAATGCTTAAAATGCCATTTTTCTTGTAAAACTTGCTATGGAAGTTAAAACACGAATTGCTTAACTTGTGACTTGAATTACAGATAATTAATATAATCGAAATGTGATTGTCCTTATGAGTACTATGATGTAGGTCAATTACTATGTTAAAGTAAAAATAATGATAATTATAAGAGTGCCATTACACATGTAGAACCTGTTTTGATTCTTAAATCAATAATTGTATCACTTGTTCAATACAAAACAATAGAATAATTAAAGGAAATTTATGCTTATGTATGGATGGGTACTTAGAAAAATAAATAGGATTCTAAATGTGCATAAGTAATCAAATATACATAATTATTAGAATGCTCATATCGATGTGCCTCCTGTAGTGGAACAATAAATCATTGTGATGCTTGTCCAGATTTTTCATTTCGGAATCTTGGAGTAGACAACTCTTGCTCTTGTCCATCATAATACATTGATTAACCTGAAAATCCAATATGCACTGGTAAATATTTGAATTCAATCTAGCTTGCCATAATACTTGTTTGACATGTAGTGGAAATTAATCAAATTAATGTACAACTTGCAATACATCTATTGGAAGAGAATTAAATAATTAGGGTGAGTGTAAGTGTGCTTCAAAATATTTTGATTCCGGAGTCACAGAATGTTAAGGTATGAAAATAGTATTTATTTTCAGCTTGCAGTAATCTTTGTATTGAGTGTATTACCTCCTCAACCAATTGTACTTCTTGTCAACCAGAAAAATATTTAAATGGAAACACCTGTTAATGCAAAACTAAACTTCAAGGTTTTTCAGTATCTACATATTAAAATCTATCAACTTGCTCACGTAGTCATTTAAATTTAAAAAATAGTTTGTCATTATTCTTGTTTAAGTTGCAAGGGACGTTTCTCTTCAGATTGTATTTCTTGTTGGGACTAAGATAAGAGAACTTTATCAGGTACAACCTGTATTTGTTAGCCTGGTTACTTCGATACAGGGATAGCTAAATGCTCTTGTACTATTTAGAGTTTATATAGAATGCAATTTTAGTTGCCTAACCTGTGCAGTTTTAAATACTTAATGCTTGTCTTGTCCTCCTTAAAGTTTAAGAGTTTTAAAACAATCCTAATGTTAATGCCAATCAGGCTATTACAGTGATGGAATTAATATTATTTGCTAGAGTAAATATTAAAGTTATTTATAGAATGCCATTATTCTTGTATGACTTGTTATCAATTAGATACAAAATGTGACACTTGTTCAACCACAGCTAAAAGATAATTCAACAGCATTCTAAACTCTTGTTTTTGCAATGATTATTATTATGACAAGGGAGTGGATGTTTGTGAAAAATGTCATTATTCTTGTTTTAATTGCTAGGGTTAAGATTCAAATCAATGCACAACCTGCGTAGATTCGAATGTTTCTTTTAGGGTTTATAATGGTGGATCTTGTTAATGCTTAATCGGGTATTATGACGATGGATCATCTGTTAATTGTAAGAAATGCTTTATTAAATGTGCTACTTGTTAGAGCTAATCAATTTATTGTACTTCATGTCCATTTACAAGGCATTTGAATGGGAATTAATGTGATTGTGATTCTGGTTATTATGAATCTGGACAAGAAAAATGTTCTAAGTGTGATTAGAGTTGTATGAATTGTATTATTAATGCTATTACATGTACTGATTGTGATTAATCATAATTACGAGTCTTAAACAATTTGACTCTAAAATGCTAATGCTAAAATGGCACAACTGAAATTAATGGAGTTTGTTAATACTGCGATATCTCTTGTAAAACATGCTTAAGCACTTTGACTAATTGCACATCTTGTGAGATAATGAAAAAATTATAAAATAATATCTGCATATGCATTGAAGGCACATATGAAATAGAGATCAATAAATAATGTTTGCTATGTGATCAAAAATGTAAGACCTGTATTAATCAAGCAAATTATTGTTTAACTTGTTCAGAAGAAAATTTTAGAATATTTGGTTTTGGAAATGTATGTATTTGTAAGGAAGGATATTTTGAGGATTCCTTTTTTTAATGTATTTAATGTCATTAATCTTGTCTCACTTGTTAAGGCAATTCTAAGTTTTGTTTATCTTGTGATCCTGCATTGTACTTATAATTAAACTAATAAAATTAATGCATTTGCTCATCTAATTATTATTTTAATACTTCAACTAAGAAATGTGAAGGTAATTCATTTTATATATTAATATTAGCTTGTGATATAACATGTAAGGAATGTCAAAATGTATCATAATGCATTGAATGTGAACCTATTACTAGATATTATGATGGAAATAATTTTTAATGTCTATGCAAATAAGGATTTTATGAAACCAATTAAAGAACTTGTTAATGTAATATTTACATTAAATGTAGAATGTGATTTAACTTGTAGGACATGTATAAATTTATCAACTAAATGCTTAACATGTGAACCTCAGTATTTTAGAATTCTTAAGAATTCTAACAAATGTTTTTGCTATGATGGCTACTTTGACGTAGGGATTGAAATGTGTCAAAAATGCAATGATTTATGTAAGACTTGCTAATCTTAATCCTCATAATGTTTGGCTTGCTATGAGACTGAATAAATCAGAATATTACAAAATAATACCTGTATATGTAAATCTGGATATTTTGATAATGAATAACTGATTTGTGAATGTAAAAATATCTATTTATATTCTTAGAATGTTCAAAATCTTGTTTAACCTGTTAAGGAAAAAGTGATTATTGTACAAGTTGTGATGTCAATATGAATAGAATTGATTAATCCGCAATTCATAAATGTCCTTGTTAAACCAATTTTTTTTAAGATTCAAATGAAGTGTGTTAAAGTAAGTATATCATCAATCTAATTATAGAGTGCCATATTAAGTGTTCTGGTTGTATTTAGAAAGCTGATAAATGCATAAGTTGCAAGGCATCGAATACATCTAATAGATTAACCATTACCTAAAATTGTGACTGTAAAGACGGATATTATGATGACGGAATATAATTTTAATGTTAGAGATGCAATTATTAATGTAAGACTTGCATCTAATCATCATCAAATTGTTAAACATGCTTTGGCAATTTGAGAGAAGGAGCTCCTGCTTGTAATTGCAAAATTGGTTTTTTTATAACTGAATACTAGACTTGTGAACGTAATTATATTGAAATTTATTTAGCTTGTGATAATAAATGTAGTACATGTGAGAAAATCCCATCAAATTGCACTATCTGCAAAGGTAACAGAATAAACAAATCATGTGATTGTTTAGAAGGATATTTCGAAGCTGGATAACAAGATTGCATTTGTAACAACAACTTATAATACTTTAGAATGCAATTTTTAGTGCATGACTTGCAGCGGAAACTAATCCCGTTGCTTGTTTTGTAGAGGAGATCGAACTAATCTTCCTGTTTGCAATTGTTAAGATGGGTTTTATGATGACTATCAAAGTTTAAATTGCCTTAAATGTGACCAATATTGTAGAACATGCAATCTAGAGGGTTGTTTAACATGCAATGGAAATAGAGTGTTATCAGATGAAAAAACTTGTGATTGCCCTTAGTACTCAATTGACCATACTGATACTATATGGTGCTCAAGTATATTAATATAATTACTATTTATAGGTTGTGAAGTTGCTGTCTTAGATATTAGATTTTCTGATGATTTACTTTCAATCTAAATATTATTTGATTTTTCTTTAAATCGTAATTACTTCTCATCATAGTATTAAGAGAATATTTGCTTGAAATTTCTAGCTGATGAAACAATTAAATAATTAGGAAATAATCCAAATTGTTACTTAGATGAGGAAGATGAGAAATAAATTATATTAGAATTAGGGTCTAATCCTACGATATTTCCAGGAGATTCAATTATATTTTTAAATTACTCTATTGTTCATAATGATTGCTCAAAAAAATTGGGATAATTTGTTTTTAATCAAGTAAAACTTCCTATTAATCTAATATAACCCATAATCGAGTATGAAATACCTCAATATCTGCTTAATCCATGTGATGATAATATTATTTTGATTAAGTCAAAAAGTCAACATGGTCTTCGAAGTATGATAAGCATAACTTGGTCTTACTTACTAAACGGATTAAATGGAAAGTCTAATTTAGAAGACTTTGTTTTATAATAAACTAACCTATAACAATTGGATTTAAATATTCCATCACAGACTCTGCCAAAATAATCCCAAGTAACTTTTGTTGTTGAATTTCAAAATTTTATAAAATAAAAAGGAAAATAGCAAATTCTTGTTTAAACTCATTCAGGACAATTACCAACCATTCTTTGGTAAGGAAAGAAATAGGTGTATACCTTTGAAATAATTTCACTGTTTTTTAAAATTTAGAAAAAAGTATGTTCAGATTAAGAAGAAATTAAGAATGGTTTATCTTAATATGAAGTATAATTAGTCGAAATCAACAAAAATAATTCTAATTCTAGACCATCAAGAGTAAATGTGTCTTAAACCGTAAGTGATAATTATTTTGAAGTGAAGATAGAACAATACACATTATCACCTTACACTGCATATACTTTTAAAATGGCTGTTTATGAAACTCAAACAAGTTTTTCATCTTCCTAAAATATAACAATTGAAGTACTTCAAGGAGGTCTACAATGCTCATTTTATGACACAAAAAGACTTTAAAATTATAGAAAAGACTTGATTATCAATATTTATTGCAAAGATCTTGATACTTAATATCAATGGAACGAAGATCCGGAAATTAAAATAGATATTAGCTGTGCTGATTTGACAAAGAATACTTTTTGTACAAATTCTAATAATAATAAAATCTTTTAAGTAAATAAAACCGATTTTGTACAAATTGTTCCGAAACAAACTGTCAAGCCATATAGTATATGGGGTTGGAATGTTATTGCATCAAAAAAAGGGCGTTAATATTTTTTTAAATATAACATAGTTTTTTTAGAGAATGATTTTAAAACTCTTGATGTTTCATATAGTAAAGGTTATACAATTAGACCAATTAATAGTTTTGAAACATTACAATTTGACTTTAATATATCTTTTGAAGATAGATAGTATTTGTTACAATATCAAATTGCTATAATTTATAACTTTGAAGTTTTGAAGATACTTGAGCCTTAATAGTATTCTTATTATTTTCGTTTGTTTGATCATTATTAATAGTTTAATAAAGGAAACCAATTTAATTTAAAATTTTTAGCTTAATTTACAAATGATATACTACCTAGTCAGTATGATTTATAATTAAATTTAAATTAGCCTCCTATTTGCTAAATTAGATTAGGTTCAAAAACCATTTAAGCCTTATAAACATCAAAAATTGCAGCAAATTGTGAAATATAAGAAGATTCCCCATTTACCTACTAATATAGATTCTTCTTAAATATTTAAGACTACAAGGATTTTTAAAAGTAACTAACAGATTATTCTTTGATTCTTAATAGTTTTTAATAATCTAATGCTTTTGAAATATATTTGCCTAATAGCGAAGGAGTTGTTTTAATTTAGATTATGGATTCAAAAGGATCAATTACAAATATTGAATCCTATTTGAATGTTACTGAATATAAATTAAATTGCTCTGATTTTGTCATTAGTAAATTAAATTATAAGCATCAAATTATTTTGCTTTTGGAAGTTTTGATGAACCATTATGAATAATCTGATTGTTTTTAATTTTCTGGAAATTTATTTAAAGAGGCAATGAGCCTTATTGATTCAGAAGATCTATTTGATTAATTATTGGCCCTTTAAACAATAAAATTATATAAGAGATTTATAATTAATTTCAACAATTTCAATTCCTCCAAAAGAAACTTAGCTGAAATTGACTAAAAAAGTTGTTATGATAATAACACAAAACGAATATTATTTAACCATCCTAAAATTTAAATTGATACCTCATATGACATTCTAACTGTTAAAAACGAATTTAACAAAATATAAAATTTTGCAAGAAAAATGATCTTAGCAAAATCCAATTTAGAAAATCAAATCTATTAAGATGAAATTTTTATGAATGAACTATTATTTCAATATAAATAATCCATTTCCAATTCCTTAGACTCAATTATGCAATAGATTGATGATATGTTTACCAAAATATCTAAGATTTCCTTTAGAACTGATAATGATCAAGATTAAATCATTTTAATTACAGAAAAATTACTCCATTTAATCGATGATATTGCTATACATGAAAGTGCATAAGTAGAAGTAAATGGTTAATAATTTACTTTAAACGGCTAACAGTTAAAATATTAAATAGCCAAAATAACCAAAAATATTTTTAACTAATAATTAGATATTGAAAACGATTTGATGGATAGTTTGATAGTATTTGTCTAAAAAGAACAGTTGGAAATTCATTTCAATTATTTAAATATCTCGAAAAAGCATATATAAGAATTAAAATTATTTATGAATTCATCTTAATTGGAAATTGATCAACAATTTTATTCAAAAACAAAAGTATAAAACTATCTTTACAAAAAATAATATATTAATTATGAATAACTAAATACTAACTATGCTATTGATATGACTCAACACTTTTACTGCAATGAAACAAATTTACCTGCTTATGATTTCTAATGTGTTTAGTACATTAATAATGGATCACTCTTTTTGTGTAACATTTTAATTTAGGAAAATAATCTTAAATAATATATTTAGGTATCTTGCCAATGTTAATATTTGGGAATTATATTTTTAACTAGATAATTAATTTAATCTGAAAATACCACAGAAACTTTCTCATTTTCTAACATTTCATAAAGAAATGATGCCAATTGTGATTTACACAATTAACCTTTTCTATTATTTCATGGTATTTACATAATCTTTTCATTATTCATGTATTATGAGTTACAAAAATTAGAAATTTAAAAAATTATTGATTCAATTTAAAAATAGAAGATCATTAGATTTTATAACTTTCATAACATTTTTAGAATTTATATAAAATCCCTAAAAGTAAGAATAAAATCATCTTATTAGTTTATTCATGAAATAATTTGCTTATTTTACAGCGAAGACCAAATAATTACTAAAAGTTATAAATTCCTTAAGCTCTCCATTTTTTTAAGTATCTTAATTCCATTATCCTTTTTTGAAACATATTTTATGGTTAAAGAAACATTTACTTTTATTTTAATTACTAATTATTTACTATTGTTGTTTTTAAGAATGATCTTTAAGATATTTGAAGCCATTTATAGATTTAAAGGAAAGTGCAAGTCCTTTGTAATAATATCGTATTTAGTAATCCATTTTTCATCTTATTGTTTATTAATATATCAAATCAAGTAAAAATAGAAAATTATTTAGAAATAAATGCAACCCAGAGTTTAATTATAATATGCTAATCTTAATAGGTTGCACAATCATATTGAGTTATGCATTTTTAGACCTAATTTTAATATTTCTAAGAATTCTCCTTTACTTTTATATTGCTTCAATAATAAAAATGTACCAATTAGATCCATTAAAATAATTTATCTATTTTTTTATTTAGTAATATAAATTGGATCAAATATTTTTGGTTGGAATTGATTTTTGAATTTCTATTTTATTTATGTTACTCAGCATTGAGTTATCAATTCAAACCTTAAGTTATTTTTCATCTTATATTCCTTATTATATTTACAATCATTATACTATTCGTATTTCGATATAAAATAAACCAATAGTTTAATTTGTATTACTTATGTCAACTTTTTGAAAATTTATAACTATAAATGTTAATTATAATAATAATCTTTTAGGTTCAAATTAAAATTAATATAAATATTATCAGTAGTTTGTTTTTTGGTATAAAATATTTAATATATAATCATAAATAAATAATCTTTAAGTTCTTTCATTATGACAAAATAAGTTAAAAATGTTATAATCTAGAAAATATATACATTTTTGTTTTGATATTTTATTAAAGTATTCAATTTTGTTAGTAAAATATATTAAAATTTTAATATCAATTAAAGTTATTATTATTGATTAACAATTCCAATATTTTTTTATAGAATTCGCTTAATATTAAATCTATGGGATAATGTGAGGTTTTGGTATTTTTGAGAATCGCAATCAGTTTGGTTTATTTAAACTTGTTTCTTTTAAAAATTGTTAAGGTGAAAAATTGATTCATAAATTTTTGTCTCTTAGCCTGAAAAGTTCTTAGACGAATATTTTTCATTTTTCAAGAATTATCAATCACCAATAAATGCCATCTATTTATAATGAATACCCTGGGACTCTAATGATTTATATGAATTCTTTCTTTCTAATTTATTTCATTGTTAATTTATTCTTTTTTGATTTATTCTCTCATGTTGTCTCTTAATCTCTTGTATTCATATCTATTTATCAGAATACTCTTAGGCTATGGCTTTGTGAATGGATTCTTAATGAGAATTATTGTTTAATGGCATCATAATAACAATGACAATTCTGTAGTTAGGAAAATATAAAATTAAACAAAAAGGTAATCTTAAATAGTTAAGTTTTGAAATTGATATGGGAATAAATGCATTTGTTAAAGGCAAATAGAATGAATGAAAAAACTTCTGATGATAGAGACATACATTTTGGTTTGACTAGGTTGAAATTTTATTCAATTTAAAGATAAATAAAAATGTAACAAACATAAAGTTACGAAATTAATTTAGAAAGAAATCTTCTCAAAAAATCAATTAATTTTAAAACAATGGATCCTTAAGTACTTAAATACTTTAAAAAGATGGTTGATAAAGACCCCAAAAGGGAAGACTGATAAAATATTTTGAAACTTTTGAGAAAACCTTTTTGGTCTATATATACTGAATATTCACACTAATATCAAAAAAATTCCTTAATTGCTAAAATAAAATACCCCAAATAACTACAGATATTGAATTATAGGTTGTTTTATAAGAATCAAATTCAAAAAGTTGGAGAAAAGATGCGCTTCGGGCATGGGAGAGTTATTCTTTATTGTGGCATCAGCATTTTCAATAATGTCAAAAAAATTTCGAATACACTTAGTAATTTTGTAGAGTTTATAATTTTTAATCTAAGGCATCTATTCCCAAATAGTTAAAGCAATATTTTAAGGAGGGTTAAATTTCTTCACATTATATTTTATTTTTATGAGAAAGTCTAAAAAACATCAACTATAAAATAATTTATTTACATTCCTTATACAAAAATTCTACAAACTGTTTAATTTAATTGTCAATCGCAAATATAAAATATCGAAATTCTTCAGCCCAAAATTAGCACCAATCATTCTAAACCTTTAGTTCAAGGCTGACAAAACCTAATTAATTAATTTAGTTTTATAATACATAAAAGATTACTATTTTTAATATATCTATATATTCAGGTGTATTTCAGCCTTAACCGAATTACGAACTTATAAGTTATTATTAACAAATTAATCATATTTATTTATAAATTTTTAATAGAAATAAAGATAAAACAAGGGTATCAAAAATTCTGAATTCGGAATAGAATTCTTCAATGTTGTGTCGATAACAGCATAAACCATTGTAAGTTTATTTCATAAAAGTAAATATTTGAGTTTACTTTTAATTCCTTTAACTTTAATTATTGATTCTTGTTTCATCTATTATTTATTCATCAATAGAATAATCTCCCTCCATGAGTTTTAATGATAATTTCTATAGTGCTACCTTTTACAATTTTATAATCTTTAAAATGCTTCTTTTAATTAAGGACCACACCATTATAATAAAGCACAATTTCTTATTAATTTCCTGGTTATAATAATTGATGAAGTTCAGTAATCAAATCCTCCACAAGAGAATCAATATCAACCTAAACCTGATAAGTTTTCTGCTTCTCTTTACAGACCAAAATTATTGGAATTTCTCTATTGTTCATGTTATTTAATTTATTAAAAATTTCATTCTTAGTATTGATTTTAGAACTTCAGAAAAACACATCTTTATCTAAGCTTGATTTTATATAACAAATATGGATTAATACATAACCTATGTTAGTGTAGGATCATGACTGAAGTGACTCATTTAAAGAATATTATCAATGGATGTTTTCTTTAGGGAATTTTAGAATTTTAGTGTTTTAAATAATTTACAATTTAATCTTGAAATGATTTGAGAAAAAAGATTGTAATTAAGCCATCTTACCATACATAATTTTTGATTGATGTCCCTATTAATTTAAATTTTAGGAAGTGGATTAACTCCGATAAACTAAATGTATATTTCAAATTCAAATCTATTTAAAATAGTCACATTATTTTAGAAACGTTAAACTTTTATTTCTAGACTTAAAGAAATAACCTTCATGAGAATTTATTTGTAAATTAATATAATTATTTTTCTTGCATTCTCTAATTGGGTTGGCGCACT